TCATTGCTACGTTCCTCCGATATCGTCTATTAGTTGTACGACAGGACCGCAGGGTTTTCAATCGGGAAACAGGAAAAGCAGTTTCGAGAAGTCGATCGCGAGCGAGTTCGCCGATAAATCGATAACGAGTCGCGGCCTGGTGAAACGCGATCGATTTGTCGCGCAAGACCGCCGTCCCGATACTACCGAATTCCGCCGGTAATGGAAAAAAATTCTTGGAAATAAACTCGCCGATATTACGCGGCCGATAATCACGAGCACGATCGGAGCCGATTCGCCTCGCGTTGGTACCGTAGGAAAATTACGATCTCGTCGGCATACTAATTTCCCTTTTTCTCCAGCCCCGGTTCCACGCGGCCATCGGCGTAACCGTCGTTTCTCCCTCGTCGTAACCGATTAAAAAAAAAACGCGATTCCCGTAAATCCTTGCCGCGGATCGAATTATTCCCGAGCGCTGCGATCGCGCCGCGATAACGATCCAAGAATGGGGGGAACAGGGGGCGAACGAACGCCGTGCCGGAGGCCAAGGAGATCGACGATTTCCCGATCTGGTTTCAGCTCCGAACGTATCGGGGACCCAGAGGACTTTGCGAGGAACGCGGAAGATCGCGAGGAAACGCTAACCGCTCCTAAATGTTTCTCGAACCGACGCGAATTATGCTAGCAGTAGGCTGTAACCGGTCAAAACGTTTTACCCGAGGCAGCGGTTACAACGGGGCGGGTAAAATTAGATCGCCGCGAATCTTTTCGCGGACCTCGGTTATATACATACAGCCGACGATATCGGAGAACCGGAGGACGAGAAAGCTTATCCGAATGGCGCATTCCGAGCGAAAATTACTTGTCCCGCCCCTGTTGCTCTCTGCGTCCTCTTCTTCAGGGGGGGAAGAAAGAAAAAAAAAAAAAAAGAACGCGCGCGCGGCTAATTACGCAAGACCAGTATGCCGGTGAAACGGGGGTTGAGGGGTAGGGAGGTAGAAGAGATGGGGAGTGGAGGACCAAGAAATTCCAAGAAGCTGGAAGAACCGTAAAGATTTCAACGACCTTCTCCACCTACCTCGTCGCGCGCTATCCTTCGTCCTTCGGGTTGGACGAAGGAAAGGGTGCGGAAGAAACGACGAGAACGACCAGGACGGGAAAAAGGCGAACACATCGGTGGACATTCGAGGGATATCTTTTTCGAAAAATATTCCGTGACGCGATAGAGGGAGAGAGAGAGAGAGAGAGAGAGAGGAGAGAGACCGAAGTGGACGCGTTCGCGGCCGGTGGCCCGCGTCCGGTAGAAACGGTGAACGGTGCACCGGCTTAAGGCCAGTGGAATTATCCTCCTGTAAACACCTACCTAATTAAGATTGGAACATTTTACCGTCCTGCTCGGGGACCCCAATAAACCGCCTAACGTACAGCCAGTTTCTTAGGCGCTTATGGGATCGTTTAATTAATATTGGCGTCGGACCAGCGCGGCCGGCTCGAACGGCCGACCACCTCCGGCGCCACCGATGTGTCTTGCCTCCTGTACACTTGCAACTTGCACCGGTCTAAAGTCACTAACGCGTACGAGGCGATCCGCTTCCAGAACTTCCTTCCCCGGCCGGCTCTCGATTTCTTTGCTCCGAACGGTTCCTTTAGTTTCACCGATTCGTTCGACCGTTTCTTTCGGTACCGATTACGCGGACCGTTTCGTCGATTTCTGGCGAAGAAACACGGCGAGCGCGTGCCTTCGATTTCCAAGAGTTGGAGACGTTTCACTACAAACGATACGTAAGGATAGACCTAACATGCCGTAACATTTGGAAACCATCGACGAGTCTTCTGAAAACAAGTGAAGAATGGAAAGACAGAGAAGTAGACGATGAGGAAGAAGAAGAAGAAAGGCGACGACGACGAAGACGCTGCAACAACGTTGATGGCGCGCGGCTCGAGGGCCCGACTCTCCCCCTCTCCAGTGCGCGTCAAGGGCCAGCAAGACGATTAATCACGGTCGCGTTTTGCGGTTTTGTCGCGCGTCACGACCCACGTGCGTTCCGCGGGGCCCCATTGTTCCGCGTCTAATCGTTCCAGGAACGGTGCCCGAACGATCGTTCTTCGTGGGAGAGTTCCGCTCGCGCGCCCACCGTTTACTCCGGATGCCCTTTCGGACAACCGTCCCCGTGTTCATTTTTCCTGCCGTTTTACGAGCTTTCGACTGGTCACCGTTCTCCACTCGCCTATTATCACCGGACGTGTACCGAGTCGATTGAAAATCGAGAACCATTCCGTGGACGGTGAAACAGCTTTCCCGGCGAAGAACGTGGCTGTTGCGTCGTTCAGGGACGAGGATTCGTGGAACGGGCCGCGTACATTACGAGGATTAAATGGCGTTCGCGAGCACGCGCGCACTCGCTTCAATCTTTCCTGTTCTTCTCGTCGCGGAACAGCAGAAATTTATCCCGTGTCACGGTTTCGCGGGCAATTTAACCGGAGACGACGACGAAAGAAAAAAAAAAAAACAAAGGTACAAGTTAATAATCGCGTGAACGCGGTAATCGGGTAAATCGAGCATCGCGTCCGCGACTGGTCGAGAGCATGCTGCTTTACGTGACGGCGATGTTTTCATTAAGCCGGTAATAATCGGTATGTATCGTCTCTGTCGGGCGAAATTGAATTACCACCGGAAGATCACGCTCGCCGCCGCCTTTCCCCAAGGGGCCCCACGGTGGAGGGAGGGGGGTGGAGCACCAGGAACGAAGATGGCGACGGGTTTCACAGGCCCAGGGAGTATCTGGGTACATATAACGGGGGGCCATTTTTCCCTCAAAGGGGAACGTCGACGGCAGCCGAAAATTACCCCGGTTGGACCACCCAGTTGGCCCCGAGCAGACCAATCTCCTGGCTATGGGCTAATCGAGTCCGGACGGTCCGGTCCCGGATCGCTGGTGGGGCTAATTGCAGCTCACCACCTTCGTACCCTCCAGAGGTCGACCTCTCTATTAAGAGACCTTTACGCTGCCTCTTCTCACGCGCTCCGGCTCCTCTGCCGCGTCACGTACTAAATTGGAGGGTGTAGGCGAGATCCTAAACTTTTTACTTAACCCCTCTGAACGACTTTTCTCGAGGCTCGAGGACCCTCGATCTTCGCCCACCGAGACCTGGCTATCCACCCTTTCTTCGGACTAATTTCATCGGAAATGTGCGCGTTGCCACCTTTTTGCCCGTGATCTCTCAAGCACCTTTTCCACCTTCTTACGTTCACGGTTGGGGTTGGAAAATAGGGCAATGTGAGCTTTTGGTACTTGAGAAATTTTATGATGAAATGCGCCACTGTAATCTTCCAATGTGCCACGTTTGGCGCATATACGTTGGCCACCCCTAGTTTAACGCATAGAAAATCAAGTGTGATCCAAGGCTAGAAAAAGTTGGAACATTCTTGACGATTGATAGAGAAGAAAAAAAAAACCAACCGGTCGGATCGTTCGACCCGAATATTTCGGCCATCGGACCGCGCTAATTTTCACGTCCAATAAACAGACACGCGTCCATGGGAAAAGGATTTCTCCTCCACGGCGAGTTTATGGCTTCCGCTATCGCACACCGAAACGCGCCGCGGATACGACGCGCGCCTCCTTTCCGGCTTTATGGTGATGCGAAATTCCTCTGTCTCTCCGATCTCGCCGTAAAACTATTTTATAGGAGATGTAGACACCGGTTGTTTATTGCTCGCGCGACCTCTCCCGTGTACAAGGTCGAATTACAGCTAAAAGCCTGTGTTCTACAAGACGCGTTAATATACGAGGCCTCCTAACATCTCGGCGTTCCGTCTTGCATCCCCTCCACCAGCCTTACCAGTCTCTGTTCAGTTCTCCAGACAGAGCTTGGAAACTGTTATGATTTCGGTTTAGGTTCTTGAAACAGTTATGAAGAACTTTTATTCTGAATAACTGTTACGAACAACTTAAATTTCAGGCTATATAAGTTTCTATTCAGAAATAAATGATTAAATAAATAATTTAGCATAAAAGTCTGCAGTCTAGTGATTAGAAATAGGGACATTGATGTTATTTCCTTTTTTACTCGCTGTCCTTTTTTGTAGCCGATAAAACTTCTACAGTGTCGGTAAGGGCCTCGAGCTCGAGGCACCGTGACTTTGTGTTAGTAATCCGTCTATATGAGTCAGAAATGATCCAGCCTCGGACGCCCCGCGAGTACTCGGGCTTAATCTGACTTACCTGACCGATCGGCTATGTTCGATCGAGGTTGAAAGGAAAAGCTTCGACGATGATTCTGGCCTCGACGACGGTGATGTATCGTCAGCGGGTATTGCGACGCGTCGGGGAGTAATCGAACGAGAATTCATCCGAGGATACACGATTTTATTCGCAATTTTACGATGCACAATGGTATAAACGGTTTGTTCGATTAGTCAGTCTTATTTACAGAAATCGCGGCGGCCGCAAGCGCGAGAGAGAAATAGAGAAACGGTACGGATTAACCCATTGCCCTACGATTTCCTTGAAGTCTGCAAACTCCAGGATTGTGTTCTCGATAGTGTCCCAGAAACGAAAGAAATTCTGTACCTATCGCAACTGTATTTTCACTATAAAAGTTAAATATTAATGCCAGCAACATGGCATTTCACTTCGACTCAAAGAAACCCCGATAATATTCTTCTGTGTTGAATCGATTTTGAAATCATCAACACGAGTCTGACTCAATGTTATAAGGCAAGGGGTTAAAACGACAGAGTTCCGTCGGATAAACTCGCGCAGTGAACACGACAAGCGAGAAAGCGACAATAATTCGCGTGCGCAAAAAAAAAAAATGCTTAAAACGTACAGCTGGAGATACCTGGAAAGCTTCGAACAATGGGAGACGAACCACGGATCGCTCCTCTTACTGCTAAACGCGCGACTCGATTCGCGCAAACGCGTATATTTACAAATGCTTATAGGGTACGTAACTAACACAAAATGGCTCGCGAGTTGAACGAAAACGCGTTCGCGGACTGTGTCCCGATCACCCGTTCAACGACAAGTGTTGATCGTTCTCTTGTCCAGGCAGGTGTTGCACGTGACCTCGCAGCACCAACGGAACCTGCACTCGCAGTTTATCTTCTCCTTGACGATCCGAGTGTCGTATCCTCTGCCGCAGCAGAGCAACTCGCAGCCGTCGACGCCAGGGCTGGTGGAATTGCAACGGCGTCCCTGTGTGCCCAACGAGCCCGTTTTTCTGTTCAATTTGCAGAAATCGGGGGAATCCTCGCTGTAGATCAAATCGAACCGATCCGGCGGCTTGATGGTCGGTCCCTCGGTGATGAAGCTGTGACCGTCGTTGCTCGGTATCACCTTCGCGGCCCCGTCGAACGACTCCTTCAGCCGATTTCCCACGTCACGGAACGGCGGCATTTTTCGCCAACAGGTGCGAACCGTGCACGAGCCCGATAGACCGTGGCATTTGCACTCTGTCCTCATAAAATCCCTGACGGCCTGCGAGACGAACGAGAACGAAAACTCGCGGGAGAACGTACGATGATCCAGAAGGGAAATTCAGGTGAACTTTTGGAAGAACTACTTCCTCGACGATTTCGACGGTTTTATAATATGTTGTAGAGATCAATATTCTGAACAACTTTTCACTTTGACGAAAATGTTGGTCGGCCCTAGTTTCCAAGACATTCGTTTTGGGTACGTGGTTAACACTGGATGGTGACTTGGCTACCACGTCTGTTCATTGCATTCCGTTTCTACTTACCGACAGTGTTTTGTGAATACCTCAGAAACTAGGGCCGACCGACATTTTCGTGAAAGGAAAAGATTGTTCAGAATGAAATCGGTGAGGAAGTAGTTCTTCGACAATTTGATCGAAATTTATGTAGGTAGACAGGTACCCGTTCACGCGACCAATTCAACCGTGAAACCATATTTAACCCTTTGCACTCGGAATTTCTAATTTTTCATACATTTTGTTCGTTCAGAGGGGACAGTCGAGTGCAAGGGGTTAACAGAAGAAAAAGAAAGGAGGAAGATGTGCGTTTCCTACCAGACGACCAGCGTCGTTGTTATGAAGCTTGACCAGCGTCTTGATGTCGCTGCGCTTCCTGTAAGGCGCGTCCATGAATTCCCGCGACTTCTTGAATCCGAACTTCACGTTGTCCCCGCATCCACCCCATTCCCAGTCACCCTCGGTCGGCAGACTCTTCTCGATTTCCGCGGTACGGATGTATTTGCTGAGACGATTACCTGCGCGCAACGTGTACGAATCTCGCAAGATCTAAATCGTCCGAACGGGATACCAAGATAGGATTCCAGGGGAATACGGAAGCAGAGTCGGGCAGAATTTAATTCGAATAATACACAGTGCAAAGCAGCAGTATCTAAGGGTGTCGTTCTGAGTTTTAAACAGTCAATGAGATTAAATAATTGTTCGACAAATGTCGATTCATTCATAAAGAAGTATTATTTTATAATCAAAATTAAAATTTCCACGTTTAAACGATTGGAAATGACGAAATACTTTTTTTGATCTCTTATTCGTTATTCGAAATCTTTTATCTAGAATCTAGACAATGAGTTTGCCAATCTGTGTACGGGAGCCCACCACCATTCTTACCTTTCGATGTCATTTTGTCGCAGGAACATTCGACCAGGTGTCCCATGGTGCAGGCCCTGGTGACGGCGTATGTGACCCCGGCCGCGGTGATGGCGTTCACGAATCCTGTCTCTCTTGTGTCTAGAAAACACGCGGATGAGACTCTTAACACTAAGGTTTACGGGCATTTCTTACCTACAGTGATAGTTAAAACTAACAAGGGAAGGCACGGAAGTGTCCCCCTCCGATTTTGATAAAACTTCGTATGTCTGTTAAGCAGTCAAAAATAAGGGATACGTATTTCAGGGACCCACAACACTTTCCTTACACCCTGTACATTTGTCTCGTTAAATGGATAGAAATCAGCATAAGCGAAGAGAAATGTTTTCTGTAATTTTTCTTATGAAATTCGAAATTCGTCAAAATGACGCGTCCCGTAAACCTAGTGTTAAAATGATCTGGGTCCCACTATTTAGGGCACTCTGTACAGAGGAAGGGGAGATTGTAGCGCTCGACGATTCGAGGCGGACGCCGCTCGAGATCGGGGTGCCTGGGCAAGGAAACCGATCCGAGGGGCCGCGACCACGTCGGATTTCGGTGGCCGTGTGTATTCGGTTTCACCTGTCACGTCTCCACTCCATCATTAGGCGGACAATGCACGGCCAGGAGTTCCACCCCTCTTCAAAACGGCAGATTACTACCTCCTGCATCCAACGTCTCTCCCACTCTCCATCCCCCTCTCTATCTCCGCGTCACCCATTGTCTCTCACCTGGCCGAGCATCCGGCTTTTGCAAATCCTCACGAATCCCTTTCTTTTTTTACTTCCGCGTCTACGGTGACCCTTTTACTCTCTTTCGCCGTTCTCGAGAGCTTTCCTCTCCCTCTTTCACCCTCCCTTCAATAGTCCCTCGCGCGATCAACGTTCTTGTCGCTCGACGTCGCGCGACAGATAGAAATCTTGCGGGGTCCCGATTAACTTATAATCGTAACTCGGAATGCGGGGCCCAATTACGGGGATTTCGTTGCGCGCTCGTCGGCGGGGAGGGAAAAAAAGGAAGTAAAGGGCGCGGCGTCGTCGTATTTCGAGTATCGCGAGCAGATCTGCTCGGTCCAGGGAACGATCGAATCGGGCCGGTCGCGTCGAAGCGTTTCCGCGCCGGTAGGCAATTATCCGTTTCGAGCGTTTAAACGAAAACCAGTCGCGAATACTAATGTTGCGGCGCGTCGCGGATCAAAGCACGCGCCTCGAAATCTCGGGCGACATCGCGGCGGAAAACGTGACGGAAAAATAACCAACGGAGGGGAAGGTGGGGCTCCAGAACGCGGACTTGTTCGTAACGAAACGAGGAAAGAATCAAGGTAAGGGTAGGTGAGGAGGGAGGTGGGAAGAGAAGGGAGGATGGGCGAGTCGCGGCTCGAGAAGGGGTTATACGCGTTAAGCCTGGTTCTTCGGTGGTTCCCATGGATTCCAGCCGGGTATCTTCGGCGCGGATCGACGCACGGACGGACGAACCGTACGTACGGACAGACGGACGAAACGAGAAGACGCGAGCCAAGAGAGAAGGCAGCCTGCCACCGCCCGCGTATCTTCCGATGCATCGCCTCACCTTTCAGTGCGTATTTAAACGATACGATAGTTTTATACGAGCGATCTGATATCGAGGTTCGAGAGCGAAAGGCTCTCCGTGTTGTTGCTGCTGGATCCCAGAGTTTGTGTTGGTTGCCCGTGTTGCGTCTCCTGGCTTTTGCCCGCCGTTCTCTCGATCGCGATCTCAACCCCCTCATCTTCGGCCGCCTTTCCGTGCGTCCTCGTCGATCTTTTAACGCGACGAAATCGTTCGATCTCTCCCGCGTAAAACGTACATATACATATACAGTATGTCCGGTTGTAAATACGAGAAACGACGTAGGTAAAGGTCGATGGATCATTTAGCAGGTACCGTTTGTGTCCTCGTAAGGCAAAAATCGACATAGGTACGCTGCACCAAGGGAGCAAGGGATCGAAGGTACCCCTGAAGCTGACCGATACGATTGAAATTCGTTTCGCGATCTGGGCGAACGACACTGCGGTGCAAACCGAGTTGTCGGTACTCGTAAGCGGAGCTCCGTGGCGGAGAAAAGGTAAAAGAGCGTGGCGTCGAGGTCGGGGAATGTTCGAGGCGGAGAGGAGCAACAGGTAATATAAATCACTTCGAATCAATTAGACACGAGGGATCGCGAGCCGATGATCTTGCAGTGCTGCCAGGTGCGCACACGGAGCAGCGCGGGCATCGTCTCGGGTCGTCCCGACGGCTCAGCCAATTATCAGCATTCCGGGGCATTATCCTCGGAGCGAGACTTACGCCGTGTTTAATTGCGAGTGTTCCTCTTCTTCTTCTTCTTCCATCCCTTTCCTCTCATCCCCCTCCTCCCGTGACTGTTTCATCTTTTATTCTTGCGTCGCCTCTTGATTTTCGCGTTTACTCGCGAAACGGTGGTCACGGATGCCACTCGGACGCCCGTTACAGATGGGTAGAAATTATCATACGTGACTTCGACTGGTTGATTCTTATAAAGACGAAGGTATGATTCGACGACTTTATAAGAAGCAACGAATCAAAGTCATGCATGGGCGTAGCCAGACGGGGACAGGGGGAAAAATTGGATTTTGCCTCCACCCCTCCCTTTCCAGAGTTGCAAAATTTTTGTGTGATGGGCCCTCTACAGTTTGGTATCGGGAATTATTACAATTTATGCCAAATTAACCCCTCGAAAAAGTCAAACGATCGCGGTGGCGTCAGCCGTCGTTTCGTGTCGATCGAAAAGCGTCCATCGTATACGGCGAGGATCCGTCCGGACGGTATTTATTCGCGAGCCGCGATTGGCGTTTTTGCGACACCGATCGCGCATCAGCTCGCTTAACGGGACGCCGCGATTCTCGTCCGCGGGTCACGGCGATATACTCTGCGCGAATCGCCGTAAACGGCTGACGTTTCAAACTTACGACGTTCGGTGAAACGTCCGAGCGAAACAAACCGGCACACGGCGGTAACGAACGATTGGACGCGAAAACCGATATCTGAACGGAGCAAAGAAGGATGGGTATGGGTCCGATTCCGTGGGAGCGGTTTTGACGTGGATCGTCGTGTAATCCGCAACCGATCCGCGAAACGGCGAATCGCGGTGGCGTAGGCACGCTGATTTATCGAATTTTCCCGCGTGTTGCACGACGAGTGCACGCGCACGCCTGGCCTCGAGAGTTCCGTCGTAAATCGCGCGGTGATTAATCGATCGGACGGATTATGTAAGCGTAGTAATTTGCGACGTACGCGATGCATCGTGGCCGCCATTGTAGGAATTATGTCGCCGACTCGGCCGATCGACGGGTCCCAGATACCATCGATCGGTTCTCGCCGAGTGATTTGTTTGGCCGGCAGCACGCGATTTATCGCGGTGGATGCGCCGATTCGTGCGCAATAGATCGTTGTTCTCGGCCGATCGACCGACGGATCGATCGACTGACGTTCGTAAATCGGGCAGAGTCGCGATCGACCGTCTTTCGAAACGAGTCGCGGCTCGAGACCGGATGCCGGCTTCGTTCTAATTGCGAATAGATCCGGTGGGTTCGCGGGATGGCCGAGGAACGACCTAACGGATGGGGGGAAAAAGAGGAGCCGATCGTGCGGCGACCGGAGGGACAAGCAGAGGAGATAAATTGCACCGTTCGTACCGTAAATAAAGAGAGGAATATCGAATGAGAAAAGAGGCACACGTTGGGATACGCGTTTAGTTAACCCCCGGTGTAGAGATCTTACGAGAGAAACCTCTCCAATAAATACAGCGAGAACGGACGCATGAATGCCAGCAAAAATCGCCCAATGACCAATTGCGGCAACGGCCACTCGCCTTTTCCCGAGATTCCGCGAGATTTTTTCGGCGGCTCGGTATCACCGCTGGATTCTCCTCTTTCGCAGGAATTTCTTCTCGATCTCTCTTCGCCCTTTCCCTCTCTCTCTCTCTTTCTCTTTTCTCGGTCGACACCCGTCGTCGTCGTCCAGCATCCTCATGCTCCCGTGTGCTCTTCGCCGAGGGGACCTGAACTCGAAGATACCGCGGTAATTACGGCGAATCCTCTCTCTATCCGTTCATTTCGTCCTTCCCCCACTCCTTCTCTATTTCTTTCGTGCGCGTTGCACGACATAGAGAGGCATCCAGACCGAGTGAACCGCCGGCGATTCGACCGGAGGAATTCACGGGGAAAACGCGGTTTCGAGTGGAGGCCATATATCGAGAGGAGATACGAGCGAGGGCGAGCCAGGACGAAGCGTGGCGAAAAGAGCATCCTGTCCACGGTGGAGAACGGAGAACGCAAAAGATATGGAAGTTCTCGTTTTCTCTCCCCCCCTCCCTTCCACCCCCCTACGGTGTTTCTGTTCCTCCAGCGTTCCCTTCGGCGACTCGTGAAATCGACCGAGCATTCAAATGTCACCGGCGAACGGGCAGAGTCTAACAGAATAACAGATCTGTCCCGGCATTCCCGCTCTCCTCTTTCTCCGCGGGAGCCATCCTCCTTTCACCCTTTCGCCCGATTCCTCCGATGGAAGTTAAAGCCACGGTAGCCGAGATACAATAAACGTACGGGACATTAAACTGTTTGCTATTGTCAATCCTTTTGTGGGGAGGATACCGGCCGCGCGCATCTTTTTCTGCTCCGTGCATCGAGGCACCGCCTGAGTACAGTCGATCGGAGAAGTATCGATTCATCCCCCTGATGCTGCTGGGTATTTAAACGTCGCGGTTGATTGAAATTCAAAATGTACGCCTAGCGCCGTCTTAAATCGGGAACGCGGATCGGTATGCGACCCGTAAATTCCCGGGACAATGGAGAAGCGTCAAAGTAGAGAGGAAAGAAGAAAGGAATCGAGGATGACGACCAAAAAGAAAAAAAAAAGGCTGTAGTTCCCGCTGACAGTGGACACCAGAGGAGCCTCGTTTAGTCACGGGCAATTTCCTTCCTGCCAACCGACGACTTCGTCGCTGGAAGCGAGAAAAATCGGGGTTTCCCTATTCAACGGGCAGACACGCTTCCCCCATAATCGGCGCTCATGGCTCGCGTATTGTTGTTTCCTGCGGCGAGGGTGCCCGACCAGTCCAGCCACTG